TTGAGCGTCTGTCCCTTGGTGGTCAGTGCACATCATAGTGACTGGTCGACCAGTCATTCTGGTCGTTCCGCTGTTCCGTCGCTGGGCTTTTATTATATAGGATAATGAATATGACTGAATCATAGCTACAGGTCCTGCTACGGACACAATGTTGGACAAAAATAGCAAACTGCGGAAGATGCAGATAAGTTTGATTTTATTCTATAAAGTTTAAAGTGTCAAAATCCATATTATATCTTGTTTATTGGTCCAAATATATGTCTGAAGGGTAGAAAGACATGAATGGGAACAATAACACCTGAGTCAGGACAGCAAGAGGAGGAAGAGGAAGGTGACCAAGGGAGGGTTGCCATGGGTACTGAATACACATATGTGAATTATGTTATTATCTATTCTTTGGGGTATGGCTAAAAAGAGTCAGGACAGCAAGAGGAGGAAGAGGAAGGTGACCAGGGGAGGGTTGCCATGGGTACTGAATACACATATGTGGATTATGTTATCTATTCTTTGGGGTATGGCTAAAACAGTTCATTAAAACAAAGAAAAATGGTGTGAACACTGTTATTGCAACTGTTTAAAACATTCAGAACAAAGATGGGAAGGAAATGTGTGAAAAGCTATGGTTTCCGGGAGGTAGGAACCTGGGCGAGTGTAACAGCAATGTCACTGCTGTTCTTAAGAGGATGGGAAGGTGTCTATTGATGTGATGCGGTCTCCCTGCAGGCTTTGTGATCCAGGGCTCCAATGGCGAATTCCCCTTCCTGACCAGCAGTGAGCGCCTGGAGGTGGTGAGCCGCGTGCGCCAGGCCATGCCCAAGGACAAGCTCCTGGTAGCTGGCTCTGGCTGCGAGTGTGAGGCCATAATGCCCTGGGCCCTGGGAGTCCCCGGGGGGTGGGTGGCCAGGCTCCTTGGCCCAGGGGCTGGGTTCAGCCTACTTGTTTGTCTCTTTTGCACCCCTTGCTTGCCCCAGGGTCCTAGCCCAGCCCCCTTCCTCCTCCTGCTCTCACCCTGCATGACCTATAGGGAAGACTCCCTCTTTCCTCCTGCAGCTACTCAGGCCACGGTGGAGATGACCGTGAGCATGGCCCAGGTCGGGGCTGACGTCGCCATGGTGTTGACTCCTTGCTACTATCGTGGCCGCATGAGCAGCGCTGCCCTCATTCACCACTACACCAAGGTGGGTGTGAGGGGTGGGCATGGGGGTGAGAGCTGGGACCAAGAGGAAGCTCAATGAGGGGGACACTGCCTGAGAAAAGGAGACCGAGAAGCTGGGAACAGAGTGGTGAGCCCACGTCCCATGAACGGCAGCTCTGGGAAGGGGAGAGATGCCACCCCGTGCCAGCTGTGTGACATTGTGTGACTGCCCTAACCATGCTGTCTGTTTCCTTCCTTCTCAAATAGGAGGAATCGGCAGCTCTGGGAAGGGGAGAGATGCCACCCCGTGCCAGCTGTGTGACATTGTGTGACTGCCCTAACCATGCTGTCTCTGTTTCCTTCCTTCTCAAATAGGAGGAATAAAGGTACTTCTTCACAGTGTTGTGAAGACTAAATTATATCAAAACATAAAGCACTTGGGACGGTGCTTGGCACATAGAAAGCACTCACTAATTACTACCCGCTGTTACTGCTCTCAAGCAGGGCAATGTGGCACTGTGACTTCCGGTCCAGGAGGTGGGCCTGTCCAGGGCGCCCTGGCCCGGACCTGTTGGGCCTGGGCAGCTGCCCTCTCCCCTCTCCTCTGCGTCCCTCAGGTCGCTGACCTCTCTCCAATTCCTGTGGTGCTGTACAATGTCCCAGCCAACACGGGGCTAGACCTGCCTGTGGACACGGTGGTCACGCTCTCCCAGCACCCAAATATCATTGGCATCAAGGACAGCGGTGGTGATGTGAGTGGCAGCAGCTCCTGGCTGGGGGCACCATCCACTTCTCTTATGCTACCATCTTCAGGGCAGTTCTGGGACCAGCTTCAGTTTGGGTCTTCTCTGTCCTGTGGGATCTTCGGAGTGGGGCGGGGGAGGGGAGGCTCTCATTCGCCCACACGGGCCCCGCCCCGCCCCCCCACCCAGGCTAGCCTGAGGCTCTGGGCCCCACTCACACCGGGCTTTGCTGTTGCAGGTGACCAGAATCGGGCTGATGATTCACAAGACCAGGAGGCAGGATTTCCAGGTGTTGGCTGGATCGGCTGGCTTCCTGCTGGCCAGCTATGCCGTGGGTAGGCCTCCCGCTGCTCTCACACTGTGAGGGTGACCCAGACACACCCAGGAAGCTGGGGGTCTGCTGGAAGAGACCACGAGTGCCAGGACTGGGTCTGCAGAACCCAGCCCCTTTGCCAGCTTGCCTGCTCTGTAACCTCAGAAGCTGAGCACACTGCTTGCTTGTCTGGACACTGGGTGCTTGTGAGTGACCTTGCTGGGCGGAGGAGGGTGGCCGTGCATAAACCCTGGCCTCTCGTTGGAATGCTTGCAGTTTGCTCTAAGTCCCAAGCTCCATGCTTAGGTGGCAAATTTAGCTCCTTAATCTCACAGAGGCCTTGGGGCCCTCCCGTTTAGTCCGCGGTTGACTTTCCTCTTTCTCTGGTTCCAGGCTAGAATGAATGGACAGACCTGCAGGGTTGGGCAGGGATCTTCAGCTGCCCGATCAGATTCTGTCCCAGTCCAGGATCCTAGGAATGTCACCATTAGACCAACTGTTCTTGTCTGTCTGGGGTCAAGGTCCTTGGGTTTTGAGCCCGAGGAGGGTGCCGGATGGGGGCGGGGGGCATTTGCTCCTTCAGCTGACACAGATTTAAGTTACTTTTCCAAAGCTTCTGGGTCCTATTCTCTCTGGTTTATGCAGACTTTGGCTCACTGTCTACGTCCTTGCACATCCCTCTCCGTGTCTTTAAAGTGTAGGGGAAGAAGGGGACTCAGTTCTGCCTTGTTCCTGAGGATGGGGTAGATGGAAAAGGATCTGGAGGCCCGGGTCTGAGCTGGAATCTCAGCTCTGCTGTTTACTCACCGAGTGTCAGCGGGCGAGGTACTCAGCCTCACTGGGTTTGAGTTTCTATTCTGTAAAGCAGGGAGGTGTTGTGAGAGTTAGAGAGCACTGGCCGTATGTCTGCCATCTTGCTTGGCACATGACAGGGATTCAATAAATGGCAGCTGTATAAACTTATTGACAGTCGCCTACTCTCTCTCCAGTGTCCAAGCCCCTCTGCTTAGGGGCATCCTCATTAGCCTTAGCGTCACACTCACAGGCTGGCAGGAGTGGCAGGGCCCCTGTGTTGGCAGCCAGCCCATTCTCCTTGCCCCAGTGAGAACCAAGAGGACCAGAGGATCTGTGACTTGTCCAGGTTTATGCAGCCAATGGGAGGAAATGCCCGGTGTCCTGTATCCAGAGCACTTTTCACTCCCCCATCCCACCCCACCCCACCCCTGTTCCAGGCTGAATTCAGGATGGGAGGGGGGGCGGACGGGGGCAGGGTAAGATTTCAGAAGAGCAAAGACTTCCCATTCACCTCACCCCTTACAGGACTGGTGAGTCAGGCGGCCAGCAGAGGAGTGTAGAGGTGCCAAGTGGCAGGTGGAACTTTACTTTTTTGGGGGGGAGGGGAAATGAGTGCAGGGAAGGAACTGCCCTTGAGTTAGCCTCCAATCTCTGTTCCCTGACCTGCGGGGCTCTACTTCACCGACTATGCTGGCAGCTGTCTCTCTGTGCTCTGTGGACTCATGGAGCGTGCCTTTGGCCAACCAGTGGCATAGAAATCCACATCCTAGCTCCTCACGAAGAGGTACTGGACCAGGGTTTGGAATTCTCTGTGAGAAGAGGCTCTGGCTGATGTTCTGCATCCGACCCCGGGCAGGAGCTGTGGGGGGCGTGTGTGCCCTGGCCAATGTCCTGGGGGCTCAGGTGTGCCAGCTGGAGCGACTCTGCCTCACAGGGCAATGGGAAGATGCCCAGAAGCTACAGCTCCGCCTCATTGAGCCGAACACTGCGGTGAGCTCCCAGCCAATGGCAGCAAAGGGTTGGTGGGTGGGGAGGTGGTTCTGTGTCCTCCTTATAGCGGGATCAGGGCAGGCCCAGGGGTCCCCACTCAGTCTCTTCCCTTTCAGAAAACATCCCAGTGTGGGAACTTTTGTGCCTCCCCAGAAAATCTTGACTTCAGACAAAGCTGAGCCCTAACTTAGTGTGCATTAGCATTCATTTAGGAATCTAGTTAAAATTATAATCCTTTAGGCTCACAAATAGGCATTGAGGTAAGCATCCTGAGTGATTGTGACAGAGGTTGTCCTGGGACCTGACTTAGATGCACTACCTAGAGAAAGGGTCCGTGGGCCTCTATAAAGGGCCAGGTCCTAACAGAATGATTGGGAGTAGTAACGGAGAAGCTGGAGGTATTTAGAATTCTGTCTTCAAATAATCTGTTCTGCAGTCAGACCACATACCCCAATTCTGTGCTGAGCAAGTCGAGAAGAGCCAAGAGAGAAAGCCTGCCAATGCCAGACAGTGCTGTGCAGAGCCATATTGGAGCCCAAGGCAAAAAGAAAAATGTGTGTCCCTATAAGTAGATAGGTAGGTAGGTAGGTAGGTAGGTAGATTTCAGAGAGAAGAGGGGAGAGGGAAAAAGGGATAGAAATATCAATGATGAGAGAGAATCATTGATCGGCTGCCTCCTCCACATCCCCTACTGGGGATTGAGCCCAAAACCCAGGCCCCTAACTGAGAATTGAACTGTGACCTCCTGGTTCATGGGTCCATGCTCAACCACTGAACCACACCAGCTGGGCTTTATGTCTATTTTAAATTAAACTTATAATACAGGGAACCACTACCCAGTTTTCCCCAGTAGGAACAATATCACAGCCAGGATTTTGATACTGATATAGTCAAGATACAGAATATTTCCATCACCACAAAGATCCCTCACGTTCCACTTTTAGAGCCACACATACTGACCTCCTGCCCCTACCCTCTCTGTAACTGATGGCAACCACAGACATGTTTACCAACTTCTAAATTCTGTCAGTTCAAGACTGTTATATAAATGAAATAATCTAGTCTATAACCTTTTGAGATTGGCTTTTTCACTCAGAATCATTTTCTGGAGATTCATTAGCGGTTGCACGTATCAATAAGATGGTTCCTTTTTCTTGATGAGGAGTAATTCATGGTAGGACCACACCACAACTTGTTTAACCATTCACTGTTGAATGACAGCTAGGTGTGTCTAGTTTGGGCTATTCAAAGCTTCTATGAACATGCATGTACATGTTTTTGTGTGACCATAGGTTTTCATTTTCCTAGGATAAATACACAATTGCTGAGTCACATGATGGTTGCATGTTTAATTTTTATTTTAAGAAACTGCCAAACTGTTTTTCAGAGTGGCTGTACCATTTTACATTTATATCGGTATAAGTGTATGAGTGATCCAATTTCTCTGCATCCTCACCAGAATTTGATCTTGTGACTATCTTTTATTTTAGCCATTCTCATAGGTGTGTAGTGATATTTCATTGTGGTTTTAACTTGCATGTCTCTACGGCTGACACTATAGAACATCTTTCCATGTATATATTCACCATCTGTATATGCTTGTAGATGAAATGTCAGTTTATGTTGCTTGACCATTTTCTAATTGGATTATTTGGTTTTTGACTGTTGGTTTTGGAAGTTTATTACATCTCCTAGATACTAATCCTTTTTGAAATATGTGGTTTGCAAATATTTTCTCCCAATACTAGTATGTAGCTTGTTTTGTCATTCTCTTTAAATATCTTTTGAAGAGCAAAAGTTTTTTATTTTGATAATGTCCAGTTTATCAATATTTTCTTTTATGTTTAGCTTTTGATGTCAAGTCTAAGAGAGCTATTTGCCTACCACCAAATTGTGAAGACTTTCTCCTATTTTTCCTAAAATTGTATAACTTTACATTTTATAAGTTTGTGGCCCATTTTGAGTTAATTTTGTGTAAAGGGAGACTTAGATTGAGGTTCTTTTTTTTGGCTTATAGATATCCACTTGTGGCGGCAGCATTTGTTGAAAAGGTGATTTTCCTCCACTGAGTTACTTTTGCACCTTTGTCAGAAATCAGTCGGGTGTATTTGTGTGGGTCTATTTCCAGATTCTCTATTCTTTCCATTGATCTATCCCTCTGCAATATCATGTAGACTTTATTCTTGTCGTATAACATAAATCTTAAAATCAGGTAGACTGATTCTTCCCATTTCATTTTCAACAGTTTTAGGTCGAATTCCTTTGCCTTTCCATATAAATTTTAGAATAATCTTGTCTATATCTACAAATACTCTTGCTGGGATTTTGATAGGAACCTGTATACCAATTTGGGTACAATTGACATTTTTACTATGTTTTCTCCAAAACTTTGAATGTGATATGTCTCTCTACCTGTGTAGACTTCCTTTGATTTATTTCATGAGCATTTTGTAATTTTTGGCGAACAAATCCTACACAAGTTTTGAGAGATTTACATCCAAGTGACTTATATTTTTTGAATGATTATAAATGGTATTGTATTTTTTGTTATTGTTGTTAATCCTCACCTGAGGAACTATTTGCCTACCACCAAATTGTGAAGATTTTTTCTCTTATTCTTTTTCCTAAAATTGTATAGTTTTACATTTTTTTCCGTTGCTTTGTAGAGAGAATGGAAGGGAGGGAGAAGGAGAGAAGAGAGAGAGAGAGAGAGAGAAACATCAATATGAGAGAGCCACATCAATTGATTGCCTCCCGACGAGGGCTGGGGGATCAAACCTGCAATCCAGGTACGTGCCCTTGACCAGGAATCAAACCCCAGAATCTTTGGGTGCTCAGACCAACGCTCAAATCACTGAGCCACACCGGCTAGGGCTGGTATTATATTTTTAATTTCACTATTCATATGTTCATTGTTAGCACATAGAAACACAATTGATATTTGTATGTTTATCTTATGACTTTGCTGAACTCACTTATTAGTTCTAGGACTTTTTTGGTAGATTCCTTGGGATTTCCTACACAGATAATCATATCATCTACAAATAGGGGACGTTTTATTGCTTCCTTCTGATCTGTATATCTTTTAGTTCCTTTCTTGCCTTATTGCACTGACAAGAACTCCCTGCACAATGTTGAATAAGAGTGGTGACAGTGGGCATCCTTGCCTTGCTCCTGATCTTGAGGGAAGACATTCAGCCTTTCACCATTAAGCATAATGCTAGTTGTAGGTTTCTATAGATGTTCTTTACCAAGGCGAGGCAGTTCCCCCTCTTTTCTAGTTTTCAGAGAATTTTAAAAATCATTAATGGGTGTTGAATTTTGTCAAATGTTTTTCTACATTGATTGAGATGGTCATGTGATTTTTTTCCTTTTTATCCTGTTAATATGGATTATATTAATAATTTTCAAATATCGAGCCAGACTTACATCCCTAAATAGACCCCACATAGTCATGGTGTATAACTCTTTTGATATATTGCTAAATTCCATTTGGTAAATTTTTATTAAGGATTTTTCTGCCTATATTTATGGGGGATATTGGCAGGTAGTTTTTCTTTTCTCTCTCTCGCTCTCTTTCTCCTGCCTTTGTCTAACTTGGTATTGGATAAAAATATGGTAGCTTCATAAATCAATTGGAAAGTGTTCTTTCCTCTTCAGTTTTCTGGAAGAGACTCTATATAGAATTAATATACAACCTTTTTTTACACAGTTTTTTGAATTCTCCAGTGATACCAGCTAGGCCTGGAGATGCTTTTGCGGGAATTTAGAATTTTTTTCCAGCTCTGCACTAGGGCTCTGCTGATACCACCTGGGCTGGGGAGGTGGGAGTGCCGCCTATTGCTCCCACGTGGCCTCCACGGACACCATGAGTGTGTCTGTGGGAGATGGCTTCCTAAGCGTGGACAGTGGTAAAACTTGTGACTCCTCACTAGGCCTCTTCTGAGACCATCCTTTATGGATGGGGAGGCACACTCCTGCTGAAGGGGGCGTAGCCTTGCTGGCCTGGGTCAGGGTGGGGCCCACAGTTTTTTATTATTTTTTATGGGGTTTAGCCTGGAATAGAGTGGTTATTGTCTAAAAGTTTTCATCTTACTAGGCTGCTCCTTTCCTGGTCCTTGGCTAGGGAGAATGGCCTTTTGTTGGGGCTTTTTTGTCTGTGCCCATTGGCATTTCAGGGCTGCTGGCACCTTCAGCTCTAAGTCTGGGCCAGTTAACCCACCACTGTGTTGTTCCGTGGTACTGAGGTCCCCAGTTGGTCTTCCTTATCTCTACCTTTCAGACTTTTTTTTATGCTTGTTTTTATATAACGTCCAGGGATTTTTTAAAAAATTATATTTATTGGGAAGCATAGGAAAAAGTAAATCTATTGTATCTTCTTGGAAGTAGAAGCTTTAACTAGTTTTCTGCGTGGTGATTTTTTTCACTCCCCTGTAACATTAAAAGTATTGAAAAAATTTTAAGTAGGTCTATTAAAGCTCACAGCATTCTTTTAGTTTTAAGTATTTTATCAATATCAAAAATATAATTTGTTATAATTTTACTTCCCTGGCTTGAATGGAAGCAAACTTATCAAAACAATTTTCCCCAAATCTACTTCTAGAAAAATATTGACCATGAAAAAAAAGTACACAGAACAGCTCTGGCTGGTTCTGCTCAATGGTTAGAGAGTTGGCCCGCACACTGCCTCACTTACATGTTTACTTTTCCTCAGGCTACAATATGGCAGGGCATAGTTCTGTTGGATCCTTCCTGTCTTTACTTAAAACTTTGATACTTTATTCATTATGGATGTTTTTGCATTGATTTTGAATTTTTTTTAATTGCATGACCTATTTATCTTGATGACTGAGCATTTTGGTGCCCCTTTAGGTTTTGCATCTAAGACAACAGTCCCAGACCGAGCTGGGCAATGTTTTTTGTTTGGGTAAAGTAGTGGGCAGGCTTCAGATCTCGCTCACAGTTTATGTCTTTACCTCAAAGGGGCAGATTAACACAGATGTAGAGAAAGGACAGCTGAGGAGGCAAGCATGAGTCTCCCTGGCTGTGAAGGTTCTCCTGGGATAGGATGCTCTGTAAATAGGAGGTGAGAACTGCAGAAATGAGGGCCTTTCAGCTGAGCCCCATCCAGGGCACAGGCTGTACTGGACATACTGGACTTTCCACTGAGGTAGGACCTCTGCTGTCCTGCTCCCATCCACCTGCAAGAGGGAAGGCCCCAGGACCTGTGTACACTAGGACAGGAAGAGGACAAGCTTCTAGGGCTTTGGGGGTCTGGCCTCGTGGTGGCATTTTTCTCATTCAATTCTTCTGACATGAGGTAGGTGTTGCTATCACGTCATTTTATAGATGAAGCAGCTTGGGCTGCCCCTTGGGAAGAGAGGATGCTTGCTGCCACCCAATGCTATGCATGCCGTCCTGTCTTACCCTCAGGAATTCCCCCTCTGCCAGCTCTGGGCACACACTCAGGAATTCCTGGAACACCTTTCTGCTGCCTGGGCTGTAGGCTCAGCCGCTCCAAGAGCAGCTTGATGTCACCTTACTTCCCTGCCCTGCTTGAACGCAATGTCCTTCCTGGCCTTCTCACCCAGCCAGCCTCCTGGCTATATTTAGGACTTTCCACTGTCTGCACACCAAAGCATTCAACCCTTTCTCACGGTCTGCAGAGGGGCAAATCAGAGATCTCCAGGCACCTATGGTGGGAGAAAGCTTTTCTCTGGTGTCCACTAGTCTCTAATATTTCTTGTGGCCACGCTCTCCCCTGCTCAGGTTTGGGCTGAAATGCCGGGGGTTATTAGAACACCATGGGGGGCTGGGGCCAGGCGTGGGAAGAGGCTTGCTAATGCCTACTGGCCTCTAGTGGTGAATAGTTATTAGTCAACCTTTCATCAGGCTGCCAACCTTTTTACCCCAAACAACTTTTTTTTTTTTTTCACTTGCCCTGAAGCCCATACTTCTAAGGTTTTTTCCTTACTTCCAAATAAAACTTTATTAAGTAATAATTACCTCCCTAGTTTTTAAGGAGTCAAAGATTCATCTAACACTTCTGATCAGCATGAAATAACCAGTTGCTATGCTAAAAGCACAGAAGCTTGATGCATCATTTTCTGTAAAACTCCATGCATGATTTTAAATTGACAAGAGACTTAGGTCCCTCATGACAATGGAAAAGATTTTAGAGATCATGTCCTACCCTCTCATTTATAGACAAGATAACTTGCTCAGAGTTACTAGGTTAATGATATAAGGTTACACAGTGAAACTTTGGACAAAGATCCGTTATTTTTCCTGTGAGAGCATTTAGAGTTGGGTCAGGGAGGAGGGCCAGTACAGGTCTGGGCTGTGCCTGACTTCCTAGGCCTGCTGTGCCCTGGGTCAGGTTCCAGGGAACTATGCTGTGGACCGGTCATATTCTAGCACCCAGACCCACAGCATTGCTGCTTTCTCTCCTCCCCATGCGGTGGATTTTTCCCCTAAAACCAAGGGAGGCGTCTCCCTGTCTTCATTTGAGGTTTTGGCGTTGTGTTCTCTAATGCCGGCCTGCCTTCTGGTCTCTCAGTCTGGATTCCCAATCCACCCTGCGTATCATAGATTTGATGGAGAAGAAGGGTAGAAGCCCCAACTTTCTAAGAGTGACACGTGTCTGGGTCCGGGGTATATTGTGTAGGAATCCCCCAGTCTCCTCTAACAGGCCCTGCTTCTCAGGTGACCCGGCGCTTCGGGATCCCGGGGCTGAAGAAAGCCATGGACTGGCTTGGCTACTACGGAGGCCCCTGCCGGGCCCCCTTGCAGGAGCTGAGCCCTGAGGAGGAGGAGGAGCTGCGCCTGGATTTCACCAACAATGGCTGGCTCTGAGGGCAAAGAGGGGACAGGCGGGAGCCCATCTCAGCTCCTGGCTTGTACTCGCAGCCCAAAGAGAAACACGGGGACAAGAGGGTTCGTGGCTCCTTTTCCTACTTCAGTCCGTCAGGTGCCTCTTACCAGGTGCTATGCAAGCTCATCTCCTAGTCTTACAGCCCCACGGCTTCTTGAATTTGTATCCTAAACTCTGGGTCTCTGGAGACCTTCAGTCTGGGCAGGAGCACTTGCTTACTTGGCTCTCTACCGTGGTTTCCTATGCCCCCAAGACACGTGAGCCAGGCCAGAGGGGAAGCGCAGGGCAGCTGGGCACAGGAGGGCTCTGTGTCTGAAGGAAGGACTCCTTAGCCTTGGAGATACGAACCTGATTCTAGCACATGCAGGGAAGCCAGGGCCACTCGAAGAACCCAAGTTCTGACTCTTTCCTGGGGACCTGATCAGAAAAATCTCACTTGTCTTTGAAAGCCCTCCCACCACAAGATGCATTCCAGCCACAGTGCCCTTCCCACAGTCCCTTTTGATTCATCTCATATTCTTGTCTCTAGCTTTGTTCTCAACTGTCAAGTGCACAGAGAACAACCCAGAATTGGTAAATAATGACACCTAGTGGATAGATGCTACATTCTAGAGGACTATTGTCATCACAGGTCTGAACCATTCAATGACACCTAGTGGATAGATGCTACATTCTAGAGGACCGTTGTCGTCATCACAGGTCTGAACCATTCGGGAGGGGGCGTGGCCTGAGACAGGACCATCCTCTTGCCTATAGGCACTCTGCTTTTATTGTTAAAATAATCACTTTGTTATTGTAATAAAGTCTAAGAAGTTAAACTAGTGTGGCTCTATAGAGATTGATACTACACTGCTATGCATTCCTTAGGTGTCCTGCCCAGATATCAAGAACCTACCTAGAGGCAATTTAGCTCTCAAGGTCTGCTTTTTCCCAGATCTGAGAAAATACTAAGCAAACATAGGCATTAAATCAGTGACAACCGAGGGTAAGGCTGATTGAAGTTTTAAATGGGAGAGGTAAAAAGGTTCAACTGACATATTTAGAAACATTTAGCACATTAATCGGAAAGGCTGCTTTCTCCAAAATGTTTAACCTTCCTCATGATATCTGACAAGTGACAGAAAACCTGATATGAATTTTTTTTTAATTATTCTGGTTTAAAAAAAGGTAAACGGATTTCTTGCTTAGGGCAAAGGCTTGGAGAGAATGTAAAAAGTATCACTTTTCAACTAAAACTGGGCATCTGACTGGCTGAAGCTTTGCGCTTAGCACCTGCACTCTTCTCACAGGCAACTTCTAGATCTGAGCTCAGAGGAGAATCCGGTTCAGGGAAGGACCAACAAGTTAGGGCTCGGGAGGCAGGCGAGTGTCCTGGTGAAGTGCTCGGCCCCTGGGCTCACACAGCCTGGGCTGAAGTTCTGGGATCTGCCCCTTAGTGTCTGCAGGACCTTTGGAAACTACTAACTGCCCTGAGCTTCCTCCGCAGCATCTTCCTCCCAGGACTGTGTAAGAGCAGGCGTACACGAGGGTTAGTGAGGCAGGGAATGTGCGGAGAAAGGGAAACCTGGGCAGGAGTGACTGGCCCCAGGTAACCCAGCAGGTGTGACAGTAACTGGTCTCAGTGGGCACTGATGCTCAGGGAGAGGGGAGCTCAGGGGAAGGTGCTTTGGGATCAGAAAGACCTGGAAACAAACCCCGCCTGGCTCTGCCACTTGTTTGGACAACCTGAGCCTGAATTTTTAAAAACTGAATTTATTGGGATGACATTGGTTAAACATGTCTGATTTTTAAAAAATGCTCCTACTGTGCAGAAGGTTTTTAAAAATACATTTTTACTGATTTCAGAGAGGGAGAGGGAGATGTGCTTTGGGATCAGAAAGACCTGGAAACAAACCCCGCCTGGCTCTGCCACTTGTTTGGACAACCTGAGCCTGAATTTTTAAAAACTGAATTTATTGGGATGACATTGGTTAAACATGTCTGATTTTTAAAAAATGCTCCTACTGTGCAGAGGGTTTTTTAAAATATATTTTTACTGATTTCAGAGAGGGAGAGGGATATAGATAGAAACATCAATGATGAGAATCATCAATCGGCTAACTTTTGCACACCCCCTACTGAGGATCAAGCCCGCAACCTGGGCATGTGACATGTCTGATTTTTAAAAAATGCTCCTACTGTGCAGAGGGTTTTTTAAAATATATTTTTACTGATTTCAGAGAGGGAGAGGGAGATAGATAGAAACATCAATGATGAGAATCACCGATCGGCTAACTTTTGCACGCCCCCTACTGAGGATCAAGCCCGCAACCTGGGCATGTGCCCTTGACCAGAATCAAACACGGGACCTTTCAGTCCACAGGCCGACGCTCTATTCACTGAGCCAAACCAGCTAGGGCTGTGCAGAGATTTTGATAATCAGATGATATATATATAGTAAAGTGTGCAGTGTCAGTTCCAAGCCCCCATCTGTGACTAATGTTTATTTTTAAATATTTTTATTGATTTTTAGAGAGAGAAGAAGGGAGAGGGAGAGAGAAACATCAATATGAGAGTGAAATATCAATTGGTTGTCTCCTACATGGCTCCCCACTGGGGATCAAGCCCCAAACCCTGGCATGTGCCCTGACTGGGAGTTGAACCAGTGACCTCTCTCAGTGCTTGGGACAACACTCAACCAACTGAGCCACACTGGCCAGGGCTGTGATTAATTTTTATTTTTTAAATATATATATTTTTTATTTCAGAGAGGAAGGGAGAGGGAGAGAGAGAGACAGAAACATCAATGATGAGAGAGAATCATTGATCAGCTGCCTTCTGCACACTGCACACTGCACACTAGGGATCGAGCCCTCAACCCGGGCATGTGCCCTGACCGGGAATCGAACCACGATCTCCTGGTTCATAGGTCGATGCTCAACCACTGAGCCACGCCGGCCGGGCTGTGATTAATTTTTAGAAACAGCAAATGGGTTAATATTCATGAGGACACATAACAGGAAAGTCAAGAAAACTAAGTATAGGCAGTTCTGGTAGTTTTATTCCTCATAAACACCTGTTTCTACAGTACCATTCAAAGAATAAATAGAGGCACACGGCTATAATTTCCACCATAATCTGCTATTGAGGAGACATTCAGTGTGAGGATAAAGGGGTGGAGTGGGGTGGGGTGGGGTGTGTTCGGGTCACAGGGTAACTGGAGGCCTCTGTGAAGAACTGTGTAGGGACCCTATCAATCAAGATCTGATCCCCAGGCCTGATGGCCAAGGCTTGTGGTGGAAGAGTTACAGTGAACCAAATGCAAGGAGCCAAATGCTCGGTTAGTTCACCAGGGTTCTCCAATTCTACCTAAACTATTGGTCCACTGGGAAGGAGCTATGTCAGCTCTAAGGATTCAGTTCACTCCATGGTAGGACCTGATATGGCCCAGAGAGGTCTGCCCTTTGCCCTGAAGTATGTAATAAATACAAGTTATAAAATAACTGTTTACATCAGTCTCTTTCTTGACTATCCCATAAAGGAATCCTGTCCCATGTCTAATGAAGGAAAGAGGCACAAATAGGGAGTATCTGCTAGAATTCAGGTAAGCAAGACAGCTTGTAAAGTCAGGGAAAGGGAAATAGCACTGTTACCTAATCCTTCACAGGGGGATATATTTGGATCACCCCCCCACCCCCAATACAAACAGAATGAGGAGATTCTGCATCACTTAGCAGAAAAGGAAGTACAAGGCAGCGGCAGGTCTGCACTGGGTAACCCAGGGTGTTAGGGACAGAGAGTACCAACAGCGAGACAAGGAAAAGACAGAACTGGTAACCACTCTGCAGGGCCTGGGCCATAGTCCCCAGAACTTCTCTGTGGTCGCACCCCTGACTGGCAGGTGATGTGGCACAGCACATGGTCATGCCATCTCCTCTCACATCTGGTTCATTTGTTCACCTCGACAGAATAGCGGGGCATCTGCTTTACCCAATACTTGTCAGCTGGTGCACAGGGCGCCCATCAAGCGGTGAGGTTCCTGGCTGACTTGGAGGCGCTCTGGGCTCGCTGTACGACCGCGGAACACTTCTCACGCCGCAGCAGCTTGTTGTTCTCGAACAGACCTTCGTTGCGGGGTATTCCGTGGGACCCGTCGGGGAAAGTCAGCAGGCCTTTGAGGGAGGAAGGAAATATGGGAGTGACAATGGCATTAATGATTCAGAGAACGGCCTGACAGGTAGAGGCTGAGGAAAAGAAAACCTCACAGCCTTCTCAGGAGGACTCTGGCAGTAAGTTCGACAAACAGGCAGGCATTAGGGCACTGTCACTATGGATTAAAGCTAACAAGGTATACGTCCACCCATATTGTGCTCACCTAAGTCTCCCATCCTGCTGGGCTGCAACTTACCAAAGCCATCTACTCTGCCATTTTTAAATTCCCCCTCAAAGGTCATGTTGTCGTGTCGAATGAAGACTCCGACGCCATTAAACTTGCCCTGGGCAAACTCCCCCTCATACCTGCAGAAACACAAGATGTCAGCCTTTAGTGGGGTAGTGAGCTGTCCAGGTTAACTCTTACAAGCAGCTACCAATATGTGTTTTTATTAATGCCAAGGAGCAAAGCTGACTCCACTTACCTCAGAGCTCTACCCACCCCGGTCTCATTCAGCAGAGAAGGGTCAGAGAGTATGTATGTGAGGCCCTAATCTCAAGGAAATAACAGAGCAGTGGGGGGAGGAAGGTCACTCACCTCTTGCCATTTCAAACTTTAGATCTATAAAAAACGAATGCTACTCCTTGCCTATTTTCAGAGGGCCTAGAACAAGCTCTTGATTGACCAGATATTCATTACTATCATTTTTAGATCAGATTCTCCCTAGTTTAAGGCTGAGAAAAGAATGAACCAGTACCCACCTTGAGCCATCTGAGAAGGTCAGTACCCCAAAGCCACAGAAGAGCCCATTCTCAAAATGACCCAGGTAGGTGCCACCATCTGCAAACATCAGTTGACCAAAACCATGTCTGCGGCCTGAGCAAAGAGAAAGACAGTGTCAGGTTGGGATGGGGCAGCTTCCGGGTCCCCTCTCACTGTCTAACATCCCTTACCTTCCACACCCGACCCACAAAGGAAAGAAGAGAAGCAGTGACATTATCAGGGAAGAGGACAAATACCCAGAGTCACAACCTGGCTCCTGCGACCTTCCCATCTTAAGTCACAGCCATCAGATTTGGAGCAGGTCTCTCTAAGCATGAAAGATAAGAGAGGACTTAAACATAGCACATAGTGCCTTATGGTGTGCCGGCACTCTCCTAAGCACTTTGTATATATCATCTTATTTAATTCTCACGAGAGTCTTATGGGGTAGGTATAGTACTACTATTATTTTCATTTAACAGATGTGGAAACCAAGGCAAAAAGAAGCTAAATAATTTGCTCAAGATCCTAGAGCAATTAAGTCATAGAGCGAGAATGCAAACACAGCAGGCAACCTGACCTGACAGCCCTCAACACTTACCTACATTGCCACTCGGAGAAAAATAGAAGTATAGCACTTAGCACTGTGAAGCTACTGTGCAAGCCTATCAGCCTGACTGGCAGCACTGGCTTGAGCTCTGCTACATCAGTGAGGCTGAGCTCACCCACTGCCCTGGCCAGAAAACAGAGCAGGAGGCAGCTCTTTTGGGGGACAGACTCCAGCAGAGCCTCAGGAAGCCTCTCCTCTCAAGGTCATATGAAAGAGGACAGCAGGTGTTTAGGAGGCAGGAGAAAGGCTGGCGATGTTCAGAGTCAAGGTCACATCCCACCTGCACAATTTCTCCTCTCAAGGCTCAAGAATTCATCAGCTGCAGGCTCTACCATGAAAAGAATGAGGCACGTGTCTGGGAACAGTGTGAAATGTTCTTCACTGACACAACTGCCTCCTCGAGGCAGCTCCTGGCTGGCTAGGCTTTGCTAGGACTGGACCTGGGGGGCTTTTAAGTGGCCACATTGTTTCCAAATGAACATCATTAAACTAATTCCTGTATAGTCTCAGGCTCCCAAGAATTTTACCATTCCTAAGAATAGATACTTGCAAATGTAACGAACTGTCACAGGAAATTCAAGGCAATGAATGTCACTTGCTCTTGAGTGCCTGCCCTAATTTCCTTAAATTCTTAAGGTTCATTGGCATCAAGTCATTGCAATAACTTCTGTATGTTTTGATTTATGGGCACTCAAAACAATTCATTTACTCTGCTAAGGAAAACAATTCATTTACTCTGCTAAGGAAAACAATTCCCAAATAACATCACTAAAAGATAAAAGGGTTAAAACACAATTTAGAAGCAGAAAGATTTAACTTACTTCTAGAGGTTGAATTAACAATAGTATTTTTTAAATTTCTTTATTTATAATCCTAAAATTGAATAAAGGAAAAGCACTATCATGTTAAATCTTGGAGTAAGACCTGAAGATGAATAAAGTTGGCTTATTTATCCTGAAGTATTATCCTTCAGCCAAATGTTCATCACTGGGTACCCCAGGCGTCCTCTCACCCTCCTTCCACTCGCCACGATACTCCTCCCCACTGGAGTAGGTGAAGGAACCTTTTGTCAGCGTCATGGTGACAGCTTACAGAAGGATGAAAACTGCAGGACACAAGCAGAGGAGAACCAGGGTCACAGGATGGCTGGAGGAAAGGCCTGCAAAGCAACTCTAGATACATTCTAAAGGCTACCAGCTCAGTCAGTGTACACTACCTTGAGTACACTTAACAAAACTACCCACTCTCCAACCATCGCCATCACCACCTCTGCCCCAGCACTCTTAATCCTCCTACTTGTCTTTAAAGTTTTCAGCCAGTTCCAACTTTCTATGACCTGAGATAGAAATTTAGGATTAATCTACAAATACTTTATTGATACCTGCTATACACTTAGTTAATGTGCAAAATACAGTCTCTTTCCTCAATATAAGTTTAAAATCTAGTTGATAAGACTAACAATGAAAACATTGAATAATATGAGAAATAACACAATTAACTGCCAAATTGGATGGCAGAGATTAACAGAGACAAGAGGTGGGCAGAATTTAAAACAAGCAGTGAAGAGGGCAAAGGGCAATTCCAGACTGAGAGGACATGGGGAATGAAAGCATAAAGAGTAACGTGAACACGAGATGTTCAGGAGGAAAATAAGAAGCTGGGTCTCCTAGAGTTGAAGGCATGTTTAGGGAGTAATAGGAAATAAATTTGTCAGCCTAAACCTTAAATTTGAAAAGAACCTCTAAGATGTAATCCAAACTCCCTCACTTTATAGTTGGAGAAACAGAAGCCCAGGGAGTTAGAAGCTAGTCAGTGACCAAGCTGGAACTAGTGCGCAGGCCTTCCCTGACTGCCAGTTCTTTCCCAGGCACTATGCGCTCTGCCTTTAGGGTCAGGCGAGTGGAAGGAGACCTTCGTCACTTAGGCAGAAGAGTTTATAGCTGATGAGGTGGGTAAAGAGACAGCTTCAGTGGGTGGGAGGGTCGGACAGGGATGTAACATGATACAAGCAAAGTTTAAGGAAAATTAAATTGGATCAGGAAGCAGAATGGATTCGGGCAGCCACAACCTACTGCCGGAGAAGCTGGCAAGGCAGGAGATGTGATAATTCAGTAGATTGTGAAAATGAGCACAAAGTATCCCACTTCACTCAGATCCTCCCATTAAGAGACAGTTTGTTTATCCCTCCACCCACTGGATATGGGTGGGTTATATAACTACTAGAACGTCAGCAAAGGTGATGTAGCAGAGGTTGAAGAGCACTCTTGCCCTCTTGCCCTCTTGCTGCACTTGGAACTGTTTTGTCCTCAGATGAAAAAGTCCAGGCTAGTCTGCTGGCTGACGAGAGGCCACCTGGAGCAGCTGTCTCAGCTGCCCACAGACGCCTTGGTGAGCTCAGGCAAGACCAGAAGAGAGCGCAGCCCCAAATTATTAGCCCACAGTCACAGACGAAAGGCATGGTTGTTTTAAGCCACTTATTTTGGGGTGATGCATTACTCAGCAAAAGCTACCTGATACACCCAGATATGAGATCATAAGGCCTGAGCGAGGGGGATAGCAGGGCACTGGGAGCAGAAGTAACTATGGCAGATATATCATAGAAAAAACCACCACTACCATCACCCAATAACATTTGAAGACTGGCTCGTTATGGCTTCACACATCTTGGTAAAATAATGTTTTTATTCAAGGATATACTATAAAGGGGATTTAAGATACCTAAACTATCATTAAATATAAATAGAGAAAAAATAAAATCATTTGACATATTTAAAAAAATGAAATCCTTATTTCCTTTTTAAATCCCCTAGGTCTTTTTTTACTCACCCCTTCTCCAGAATGAAATAATACAATGTTTTCTCAAGTGACTGTAACTATGCATAGTCCTAGGCCCACACCCAGATCTACTGAATCAGATTCTGTACAGTGAGAGCCTGGGAATCTGCAGTGTTAACAAGCACATCATTAGATTCTTACACACCTGAAAGTTTGTGGATTATTACTCCAATAAATGGAAATACTGTGTGTGAAGAGCTCTCCGCTGTATAAATCACCATTGAAAGGTCCCCTGTTATTAATAATTAATCTGGAGTCTGACCCTTAGGCACCTGACTGATTCCAACAGGACAAGTGCACCTCTTGTTCCCAGCACTAAGGTCAGACCTGGAGGACAATTTTTTTTTAAATCCCTGGGGGCCTGGTGCCAACTGCTAGCTTCCCTTCAGGTCCCAGAGAAGCCCAAATCACAACAATGTTAAGGGTTGTAACGATGTCTCCATTATGGAGAATCAAGGGGTTACAAAGAGTAGGTTCCATAGTACAAGAAAATCTGGCATATTTTATTTTTAAAAAATGGTGCTTCAAATGTTCAACTAAAACAAGGCATACATTGTTTTCTCCAAATGGTGGTGGTGGACAGTGCTGAGTTATTTATACGCCACGTCATTCTCTAAACCTCAGTCTCCTCCTCTATGAAGTGGAGATAATTACCTACTTCACAGAGTTAGCATGCAGATTAAATGAAATAACATTTATGAAAGTACCTAGAACACTGTCTACCCGTGTCCTTTAAATGTTATTCTTCTCCTCCTTCAAAGAGACACCTATACTCACACACTTACTACAATGGAAATTTCCCTAAAGTCTCAGTATAAAAATGCTACCAACATAATTTAAATAGCACTTTGGGGGGAGGGGGACAGCAATTTTGACTAATGAGGTAAATACTAAGTAGAGGAAAATGCAAATGACAGTTGCCACCCATCTGTTCTTTATCAACACCCTATAAGATATTTTAATTTTGGCCTATGTCATAATAATTTTTGATACAGATGCCACATGCCCAGAAATGGTCTGATGTGAAATCAGCTTGGCCTGAACAAAGCAGGGCCCAGTCACATCTTCCAGGCCTGGCTCTGCCTCAGAGCCCGTTTCATCCCAGCTATGAGGATAGATGAGTTCTGAACCCACTGTGGTCTCACCCAAACATAGAGGAACATTCATTTCTACCCCCATAATGAAGGCCAGCTTTGTGGAGGCACTTCTAGAAATGTTTGGGAGTCAATCTCATAGGTCCATCAATCAGGGGCTTTCTCACTTTTTAGTTACTCAGAAACTCCATGCCCAGGGTCTTTCACATAATAGAAGGCAGCCCGAGAAAAGGATCATTTTCTTCTTAAAGCCCCTCAAAACCTGTGGGGCTATTTTCTCAGAGAGGTGATGCCTTCTCTGTCCCATCAATGTTCCACAAGGTCAGCATCCAATTTCAGGTGCACAAATCTCTTATGTCAGCCCAGCATTAGAGTGAGCCTGGGGTGGAGGTCAACATGACTCCATTGCAACTACAACATTAATGAGAGGAAGAGAAACGTTTTCCATCAAAACTGCCGGGCATTGAGTTAGCTAGAGGCTATCTTCAGCTGCTTCCCAGGACAAATTAAGTCAGAGTGATGGTAGTGGTTGTTCTTGCCTATGATATATCTGTCAAATTTCCATTCCTAAAAGTCAGCATATGGTACAAATCTGAACTATCTCATTCCTTCTAAACAAGTCAGAATTAGAAAGGATATCTCTTCTACTAAATCTTACGACTAAACAACCATTCCAAAATATAAACACAAAATGATTATTTATACAGAAGATACGGGAATTTCCTTTAAATGTTAGGCAGCAGTTAACTTGTCTTCAATCAAAACTTTGGAGGGAGTTACTGCAGTGCAATCTGAGGAATCAGACTGACTACAGAGGGACTCAGGGGGAGCAGCCTCTTGTTTACTTTCTCTTGAGGCCCATGAAACTCCCAGACAGTGGCATCCCAGCTTGTCTCAGAGGGACCAGTAAAAGGTCTCTGAAAGAAAGGGGACATCATCTCTCAACTTAATCCTGCCACCATCCTCTCCCACTGTTTTCAAAAGTGCATACTATACTACAAATTTCCATTCCTTTTTTATCTAGGAACATAGAGCAAACTCCCTTCAATAGTTACTTTTCAAAATAAAGTCCATAGCCAAAAACACAATCAGAAGTGCTAATTAGAGAGAACACATATTGACTCCATGGGACTAAGGCCATGGTTAAACACATTTGACTAAAAATTTCTACCTATGTCCAAATAATTGATATTGTCACTGCCTGGGTCAGTGTCAGGATGTTCATTTAGCATTTCTGTAATTAGACATGCTAAGTAATACTCAGCTGCATAGCCATTGACCCAGAAAAAAATTTCACCAGTTAACATGGTCATTGAGACAAATCTAGTTTAATAAAGTATAGTCAATGGTAATGAAGACTGAAAACCCAATCTATATATATAAAAGCCCAGTGACCAGAACAGTGGAACAACCAGAATGACCAGTGGCTATGATGCGCACTGCGGCAGCCAACCAGCCTGATCTGGGCCCTGATCGGCGCCCCTCCCCCTCCCCACCGGCCCGGCCTGATGGGCCCCCATCGGGGCAGGTCGGATGGACCCCACCTGTGCACGAATTCATGCACCAGGCCTCTAGACTATCCTATCTAATAATAGACAAACATGGCAATTGACCATACCTTCGCTACACGTCACATTGGCTAATCAGCATGATATGCAAATTAACCGCCAACAAAGATGGCGGCTAATTTGCATACTGCAGGCAGGGCGGGACAGCGGGAGCTGCCAGCGTGAGCTGCCATCCAGGCCCCCGTGTGCAACCCCAGAAGCCGCCTGCCTGCCGCCTGTGATCGGATCCGATCCCGGGCCGCAGGCCGGCCCCAGAAGCCCCAGAAGCCACCTGATATGGCAGTAACTCTATCAGTAAGCACTCTGAAAGTCAGTGGCATAAATGCACCAATTAAAAGACAGATTATGAGGGTGAATCAAAAACAAAACCCACTTTAAATATAAAGACACATATAGATTAAAAGTAAATGAATTAAGCTGCAGCCTGTTTTGCTCAGTGGATAGAGCATTAGCCCGTGGACTGAAGGGTCCCAGGTTCGATTCCAGTCAAGGGCATGTACCTCAGTTGCTGGCTTGATCCCCAGTCCCTATCAGAGCATGTGCAGGAGGCAACCAATCAATGTGTCTCTCCCTTTCCCTTCACTCTCTCTAAAATTCAATGGAAAAATATCCTTGGGTGAAGATGAACAAAAACAAAGTAAATGGATTAAGTAACATTAAAGAGATTATAAGAAAAATATATTCCAAATTTTGTTAGTTGTATAATGGTTATGTTTAAATTATTAACACCTAAGAAATTGGGTGAAGGGTACATATAATATGCTGTAGTATTTTATAGTTTTTTT